TTCACCTTGAAAAGAGCTCCTTGTGACAGAGTTCGTCGAGACAAGTACTTGCCACCTTACCTATTTCTGACGCCAAACAGTAATGTGAGCATTACTACGTTCCAGTTTGGGAAGGTAAGGGTCTGCTGGTGAAATTACAGGGATATTGGACTTGTCAACTTATAACTCAGGGCGACGGGGCACAGTGGCAGTGCCCCTAAGATCTTTGCGAGTAAAAGCTCTAAATGGCTGTAATTGCTATGGATAGGCGTGTCGCTTACCACCCGATGCACGACTTGTGCGTCACGTTAGTACTTAGTATTATAAAAAAAAGACTGGGGAAATGTAAACGTCGGCGTGGGGATCTCAAAAATAGGAATTTTCTAAAGAAATACCAAGAAACCAGTGTAAGAAAATGTCGCCAGCAAGTACAGTATGTACTTGCTGGCCACACAGAACCAATTTAGAAAAGTGCTTAGTTGGCATAGCATCCGGCACGGTTTGCTGGGAGACGTTGGTTCAAATCCAATCGGATTGAAGTGGTTTTTGTCTACGTGTTCGATCTTCGTTTAATATTAATAATTGAAAGTTCATTTATCAAATTGGTCCAACGGGAATCGACCTCATCTAGAGCCCACTGTATAAACTGTTAGGCCACCGAGGTCGTCAAACGTCAATATTACTCTTAGCATGTAACTAAATATGCGTGTACAAAGTCTCAGATTCAATATGTAAAATACCATTACTTGTGTCTGTGACAGTAGTTTCAGAGATCCAAGGGGTTTTGTTCAAACAAGCGGTGGCTCCGACAAACACGTACACTGTCTCGAAAACCATTACTTTAGAATAGTTTCAAGAAAGGATTTTGGTTTGAAACAGATTAGAGATGACGAGTACTTGGGGCTCCTCTAGGCAGCATTCCTTACATCAAATTAGGCATAACTTGATTAGAATGTTATTTTGTTTTTATAATACAAGTGACGGCATGAACAAGTGGTATGCCTTGTGGTATGCAACACGCCTGTTCGTAGTAGTTGCAATGATCTAAGGGACACTGCTAATGCGGCCGTCATGCCCGTAATTCCAGCACCCTGCAAAACCGATATGTAATAATAATAATTTATAAACTTTAGTATTTGTAAACATTAAGTTAAGTTTTAATTTATAACTTAAATTAATAACTTGCGTTTATTGACCAACTTTTTGAAAATCTACACTTCCCTTGCAACCACAATAGTACACGACCAAAAGAGCACGTCAAACGCAGGCCACACCGCGGACAAAGCTAACTAGCTTAGCTTAACTCACGTAGTTGCACGCAAAGTTAGGCTAAGAAAATACGGAGTAAGTTGTGACTATGGATACGTGCGGGGGTAAAGGGCGGCAGACGGGCGACATATTTTACATATTTTTAGTCGCAGTCGAGCTCTTTGTGAAAGAGTTCGTCCAGGGAAGTACTGCCACCTTACCTATTTCTGCCGCCAGGCAGAAAGACGCAGTGGCAGTGCCCTTCAGGGGTCCGCCATAACCTTTCTAAAAACAATCTTATTTCAATGTAAGCTTAAAGTAAGCTTGTTATAATATTACTCATATTCGTACCTTGACAAACGTGTCTACCAAGAAATGTATTATTGCTAAAATGACTGAAAGAACGAATGATTTCCCTATATTGTCTATTCCTTACTAAAAATAGGAAAGAAATGACGCTATGTGAACTATATAATGGCCATGTCCATTGACTTACGCCATGTCTTCATTTTTTATGTTCCGAATCGTGTTATCGTAGTATAATGTTAAAGTACTTAATGTTATTTACATTCAGATAATTTTAACTGCTAAAAAAAGAAAAGTATGTAATAATGAAATCTATTAAAATTACGTTGTTTTCAATTATTATTCCGCATTTTCATGAAGAAAAAGAAATAAAACAAGCTGAGTCTTGATAGTCACATTGTGAATTCGGAATCATCACGGAAGAAATCTATGTGGTCTGTGGGAACCATAGTCTAGTGTCAACTGTTAGTTTCGCCAAGGACCATATAGATGGTCTTAATTTTACTTTTAATCATTACAAATCAATATAACTAAAAATAATGTTATTTCCATTGCATTCGTGTAACTATTGTAAGATTGCTAAATATTACTTTCATGTCAATGTCACGTCATAGTACGAACTGAGTGAATGAATAGTCACAAAGCTGCCAATAAAACATCATAGTTTTAACATTACAAATAAGCTTACTTCAAGCGCGTTATGGCATGAAAAGTCAATGTAAGGTTAAAGTAATATTGTTTTAAGAGGTTGTGGTAGGCCCCAGATCTTTGTGATTTAAAGCTCTGAGCGCCACTGCAATTGTTATGGACAGGCGTGTTGCTTACCATCAGACACGCGACTTGTTCGTCTCGTCACTATAAAATAAAAGTAGCTATCGGTATCGTTGGGTTAGTTTAGCTAGCTCGGTTAGCTTAGTTCGCGGTGTGAACGGAAATAAGAAAAGATCCCCCGGCTACGTGAGCGTAGATAATAAAGACGGTCCAAAGTGTTGATGTGTTCTTGAGTGTACAAAGGTTACAAATTGCCCTTTATTATTATTTATAGTAGTTTAGCACTCCTATTGTTAAGTAATAAAAATTCAATTTCGAACGTAATATTACTTTGGTTGCACTTCCAATGAAGCATATTAAAACGTAAACTAAATATAGCCTCGTCTACATTACGGGCGATTAGGCAATGTTCCTTTAATGAGATCACTAGTGGATCGAACTCGTTATTTCATGCCATATTACGTCATCGCCTTGCTTATTTAAATGATAGCGTCGGTGGCAGCAATCTGTATTCCTCATTTCATTATAGGTTGTTATTAAAGACGCGCTTGCGGCCCGCGTGGGTGGCGGGTGTGCGAATAATCCGCGAGAAATTCTATACCTCGTCGCTTCGTTAGCGCGACAATACACCTGCTCTGCTGTACCATAATGTACATTCTGATGAATGGAACAGAACGCAAATATAACGTCTTTGTTATATGATAATAGTCTTTAGTTATGTATGTTTTCAGAGAATAAAATTGGCATGTGTCATTGGCAATTGGGTCCTTCACGACCCGCACAAGGCATATGCGCTCTTTGCAGGGCTCAACGTCAAATTCTTTTTTTAAATAAATTATATATTATGCATTGACTTACTAATAAATGGACGACGGGTCTAATACAAAAACCACGAAAAAAATGTCCCAAGTCAACCTATTCGAAATTTAAATTGTAATGTCATCGCAGTATCGCGCTGTCAGTAGAACAAATGAAGACTAAAGCGGAGTGTCGCGCTCTGTATACGATTTTAGCGCCTTACAAATGCGGACACTTTTTAGCGCGGACCCGACGTCCATATAATTGTAAGTCAATGATATTATGTTCGTTAACAAACATCCCACAATTTTTTTTATTACTTACTGGACATTTCAAATTTTTCTGTTTCATTTTACGAAAATCAGTCGATCCACCCGATCGGTTGTTATATTTTATTAAGGGTTGAAAATCTATTTACTTATAAATTGAATGGCTATTGTGCAAGTTTAGACTGAAATCAAAGTTTTGCATGCTCAATTCAAGTTGTTTTGCTTTATAATATATAACGGAGTTACTTTCGATATTGATTTCTCCGGCGTTTTCATCCGGAAAATGTCATAAATGTGTACGGTGCTTATTGTAACCCATAAAAGGGTTTACATTGAAATGTCTATGTTCTGCAGGTTTAGCATTTTCATGACACCAAGTGAAGGGACAAGTCGTTTGCCTGGTGTTGCCACTCTGAGCTTCACATCTGCTGCTACGCGTGTCAACCTTAGGCATAAGTTGAAAAATTAACATTCAAAACCGGAATGCAGTAACGTTTTTATTACAGCTTGGCGGCAGAAATAGGTAAGATGGCAGTACTTCCCAGGACGAACTTTACTGTTAATAATTACATTAACGCGAATAGACAAAACAAGATAGCGTTACTTATTGCATTAAAGTGCGCGATGGTCATTTTAACGGCCGAGACAACTCGCGTGAAGTCAATTTTGGGAGTAAATTACAGCTTGTAGACGACTTACCATTTGCCTTTTTGCTCATGACATATTACGTATAGGAGAACTGACTAAAAAACCTACATAATTAATTTAACTCAACACATCAACCGACTACAGAATATAAGTCACATTTGTTTCAACTTAAGTTCTAGTGGCATCTGGCGCGACCTTTATAATATATTTTCTTTTCAGCTTTATTGTTATATACTTTAATACATTTTCTTCACATCTTCCGACATTATAGAAAACTCGGAACAAAAACTATGTAAATATGTTTAAAAAAAATATGTTTTTTACTTACTCGTAAATTTTATTAATACAGTTAACAGACATCAGACGCAATGTAATACAAAAACATTTTTAAATAGCAATCTAAACCTGGCACCCAATTACTATAGTTGTAATTGGGAACCAACTGGGTGGGTTACATCATTCGTCATACGTCATTCCATAAAATAAAATTTAAAAGAGTGTAAATACATAGAAAAAGTTAATAAAATATTAAACTAAGGGAATTTACCATTTAAGATCTGGTAGTTCTTACTTTCTACAACGTTTCACTGACCTCGAGAGTAAGTAATTTTGATTTAAAAGAATATTATTAAATACATTGTGTGCATCACAGATTTCATTATAGCAACACACATTCTTTTAGCTGGGGTATTTATTTCAACACTATTAATTGTGGGTGGCAGCGCAAAGGTCTGTGGTTCTCGCATGGATCTACAGGGAGCTTTAATATTAATTTGTTTGAGGAGGTAAGCGCCAAAGAAGCCACCTACTATTTTATGGAGACAGCAAAGGTCGAGTAACCACCTTTTTAGGCTCAATAGATTAAATTTCATCTGAAACCATACCTGCCACTCTCTCTAAGACTCTCAGAAAGAATTGTAATTGTGGACACGAATTAAAAAAGTCACGATATGAAAAACTAGGAGTTAAAAATGTACTTACCATCATTAATAAAAGGGTAGACTGTCCTCAGTTCAGCTTCATATTCCTCCAAAGAAACGGCTTGAGGCACTATCGGAGCGGCATAGTCGTCTTCCGGTGAGCGCTCCGAGCCGTATCCTTGGTCGAATCCAGGGTCTTGCAGTTTCCATACTGGTTCGGTGCCTGACCCTGAGACAAAAAAAGATAATAACGTTTAATAATCGCGTTTTCGATATTTAATTAGAAGAAAGACCCAGAAAAAGTGTACAGATAGAAGATAAATATTTGAATAGTAAAGATAAGATCGTCATTCTCAAAAAGAAGATGACAATATGGACAGAATCTGTTCCATTAGAAACATAAAATAAAATAATCTGAAAATCACCATGTCCACAAATACTTAACAGTTCGTACTAAAAGTTCAAATTACCACAGTGACCTCGTTTATGTTTAACCGTATTCCCGTAACATAGATGTTAACGTGAAACGTAAAGTTGTAAGGAGTCTGTAAACTTCAATGGAGTTGTTCGTAGAACATCTTAATTTCTTCAAGGCTTAAATCAAAGTTACATTATTAGTGTTATGAGGTTTTCTGTATTTTAAACGATATCCTCGGGGATAGTGCAAATCTGCGTATGTAGCATTGGTAAAAGGCGCGTATCTGCACTAAACCAAGTTTTACGGGAGATGGATTTAACGTTATTACTTGGTTATTTCAAAGGATACAATTTTCATTTTTGCACAGTAACCATTAATTTATAGATCACGCTTATTCGGTTGCCACGACGTTTACGCGGATTTTATTTGGCCACTAAATTACCAAAATGGAAATTCATAATCCAATGCCATGTACGCGTAATTACACTATCCCTGACGTATATTCTAAGAAAGTCAATATCACGGGTTATCTTCAACCACAGACCATGAGCAAAGAAGTATGTTTTCTAATGTAATATCAAGTAACAGGACGATCATGTCAAAATACTGCTACTAAGTTAAAATACTCTAATAAAGTATACAAATTATAATTATTAATACAAAGATCGAACACTCAGAAAAAAATTCTTCGATCCGGTCGGATTCGAACCGACGTCTTCTTGCATACCGTGGCAGACGCTATACCAACTAAGCCACGGAACGAACCAACGGACCTCACGAATTTTTCTATGTGCGTGGGTCGTGTCATTGTACTTGGTCTTTCAACGACTTTTTAGTCGTTGAAAGACCAAGTACAAAGCACAAAAAATAATTGAATATCAATTCAATAAAAATTTAATTAATACAAATTATAATTTTCTTGACATCGCTAACGTACTAACGTAAAGTCCAATTTCCAACAGAGAAAATGTCTGAATACATGAAATTCTTTACTTCGTAATAATATTAAAAGCCAGATGTCACATAATACTTTCGGCTGAAAGGATACTCTTAAACATTAATGGCAAAAACTTCGAGACTCGCTCTTTCATTTTCTTTTACATTTGATACCTAACGCAAAAACATTTTATAAACATTAAATGCTACTTCGTTTTTTAAAAGAAAAGCTTTCAGCAATAGTCGCGAGGCAAGGAACACTAGGTTATCCATCCATTCATTTTATTAACTCTCTCACTGTTATTGCCGTTATTTATTTTCATTTTCACTTTTGCGCGGGAGCGAGTCTCTAAATATTTTATTCCTTCGTCTGCTGCCCTTCCGTTTAATTAAACCTTTTTGTTGAAATGTAACTGGTGGACTAGCAGTTGGTTAGAGTTTCGCTGGTCTTGTTAAGCTCGTCTAGTAATAATGTAATTTGAAACATTATTATCTTATTTAATTACAAAAATGAAGAAGAGAAGAAGAAAGTTACGAAAGTACGAGAATGTTAGGGAATAGCTTATGTAACAGACAACATTGACGTCATCAAGATCCGGGGGGCAAAATCGACTGATTCGCTGGTCCAAAATAAGTCAGAATATTAAAATCAAAGTTGATTTACGGACTAATTCATATTAATTTTATCATCGTGTGACGTATAAATATAGGTCCCACTGCCGGGCACGGGTCTCCTCTCAGGTTTTTAGGCTATAATCTGCCTTGCTGGCCCAATGCGGGTTGGGGACTTCATACGTCTTCCGAGGATTATGAACCTTCTTCGATAGGCAGGTTTCATAACGATGTTTTCCTTCACCGAAAAGTTCATTCCGAGAAACACGAGATGCGATTGATGTCGAACGATGTACTAGTAATGTATAAATTTTGTATAATAAAGAAATGAGACAAAGAAGTTCTTGTCCTGTAGAAAAAATCTTAAATATTGATTCATGTCATTTTCAGAGCAAGTTTTACAAGTCCACGTACGTCTGGGTAAATTCATGGGTGAATGGTTGCAACATCGTGTTGGAAAGATTAGCCAATCTAGGTACTACGTCAGCGTGCCTAGCTAGGCAACTGTTAACGTTTTGCGCCACGACGGTGCTCTTTCCATGTACTCCGATAATAGATAATAATGTTTCTTTACGAAATAGTCATTAGAATAGTCGCTATTACTAAATTTGACTGAAATTTCTGATAGGGTGTTTTGTATTGGCTGTTTGCGAAAGGTTCGCGTGCGATCTATTTGAGTGCCGTTCGTGTGCCGCTCGCGCCACATATACTCGTACTAACATGTATTTAACTGCACACACGCATGCGCACGCGCAACGCACATGCAGCGCTTTCGCGGTGCATTCGCCAGATGTGTACGCACCCATAGTATCTCCGATTGCAATTTTTTTACCCTAGTTAAAAACAATGGCATGTTGAATTCAGCGTGCTATACTTTTTTAAACTGCCCTGTGGCCGAACGGTTACCATGCAGGACACGTAGGGTTCGATTCCCGGGTCGGGAGAAATATTTATGTATGGCCCACATTTATTTCTTTAGTGAGTTTCGTTGTAATTTGTGCTTGTCTGTGTGTGTCCATGGCATCCGAGGGTTTCCGTAGTGCGGGGCTATGAGCGTGTGCGTTCTATTATGTTACATATATTTTTTCAGTAACAGAAAAAAATACTAGAAAAACATTTTAAATATCTCTTTATTATCCAAACTAATATTATAAATGCGAAACTAACTCTACCTTTCACATTTTCACGCCTAAATCGCCGAACCAAGTTTGGTGAATTTTGGTATATACATATTATTCACATAACGCCCAATTGGCATCATTTTACTTGCTATGAACTCATTTAATGTAGTAATTAATTTCATATAACGAACGTTTGATATAAAGTTACATTCTATAATTTCATTTTTTATAACGATCATAAGTTTTATAACTTAACCACAGTCAACATAACGTCATTTTATCTAAATTTCATTTCGTTTAGAAATATGATTATTTCCGAGAAACGATATCCGTAATACTAATTTTATGAATTATACGAAAAAATGTTTGGAAACGTAAATTAATTTGTTGCTGGCACTTGCCGGCCGCTGCCGCGGTACGCTCGCTACGCTCACTCGGCTCGTGCAGCTATTTCAACGTTTTAACCTAACCTAACTTATTGAATATGAACCGCAACCAACATTTGACCCATGTAAAACACGTTTGTTTTATTTAAATCACCAAGGAATCCGGTGTCTAGCAATAATATTTTTGACAAAACGTAATTTCAGCATTGTAAACTATATTAAGGAAAACAATTCTCTCTCCGCACCTCCGGCTTTTAAATTACACTCCTAGTATCGAACAGACAAGCACCATGGCGAGTCGGGTTTTAAGTTATTATTTATGTAAAGTGTACCACGTAAAAATTATTTAAATTTACAATATAAACGATAGTCATATAAAATGAGCTTTATATGAAAAAAAATTACAAAATGTGAATGCTATCAAATAAGATTTTTTTGAGTTAAGGTATATGAAGTGAAATCGTTCCAAATAAAATTTTTATTAAATGAATGGTATTTGTTTTAAAATTAGTTTATTTAATGTTCGTATAAGTAAGTGAGACGCAACCACAGAAATACATTCAGTCAAAAAAGTATCGGGAATGGATGATTTGTTTATGGTTCCAAATTCAAATTTTTGTTTTTTTGTAGTTGTTAGATTGGCACAACTGTTTTCCATTTTGGCGCGGAGTTTGAGTTGCATCTGTTATTTATATTAAATACACTGCTGGTTTTAGTAATATCATATATAGTGTGTATTGCGAATTTCATAATGGACAAAAATATCGAACAAAGAGTTTGTCTTAAATTTTGCATCGCTAATGGAATTTCGTGTTCAGAGTCACTGAAAATGTTACAGAAGGTTTACGGTGACTCGACTTTATCAAAAACTCGTGCTTATTAGTGGTTCAAAGCGTTAAAAAGCGGTCGAGATGTGATGGAAGATTTGCCTCGCTCTGGTAGGCCGTCAACGTCTGCAACTGAAGTTAACATAGCAAAGTGAAGGAAATAGTGACTGAAAAATCCCCATTCAACTCTGAGAGAGATAGCCGCAGAACTTTCTGTATCTCACGAGTCGATCCGTACCATTTTAACTAATCATTTGGGTATGAAACATGTTGCTGCTCGGCTAGTCCCAAAAGATCTGAATTTTCTCCAAAAACTCAATCGCATGAAAGTCGCTGAGGACATGCTAGAACGAGTCAGTTCGGACCCAACATTCATGAAACGCATTGTTACCGGTGACGAGACGTGGGTTTACGAGTTTGACATGCAAACTAGTCGACAAGCTTCGGAGTGGCGCCTTCCAACTGAACCGAAACCGAAAAAAACCACGCCAAAGTCGATCAAAAGTCAAAGTCATGTTGACTGTTTTCTTTGACTATCGCGGTGTTGTGCACTCTGAATTCTTACCGGAAGGTCTAACGGTAAATAAAGAATATTATTTGAGCGTTATGCGGCGTTTAAGAGAGCAAATTCGACGAAAAAGGCCAGATTTGTGGAAAGAAAATTCTTGGATTTTGCACCACGACAATGCGCCTTCGCACAAGGCTATCATTGTGAACGAATTTTTGACCAAACACTCAACAAATACCATCCAACAACCACCATATTCACCAGATATGGCTCCTGCTGACTTTTTTCTTTTTCCTAAACTCAAATTACCACTTCGTGGCACCCGTTTTCAATCGATAGAAGACATAAAGGAGAATTCGCGGCGAGAACTGAACTCAGTTCCGGAAGCAGCGTTTAAAAAATGTTTTGATGAATGGATTAT